TTATTTTATAAAACGTATTTTCGATTTAATGTTTCACGGTGAACCCGTAGTTCCACTCTACTAAATTTGTGGTGTCAAATGACTCTCAAAATCTTGAAGATCGATTTGTCACGCGAAGAATCAAAACATTTTCATAAAAAGCAACGTTGAAATTGATTCAATTTGATAAAATCGTTGGCCATCGAATGCCGTTCACTCATTGGTATTCCAGTCTCGATTTACTGTTAGCAGAACCGTCGATTTACTTCCTGCTACGGAATTGTCGACGTCGAATCGATAATTTGCCACTCGATTAACACCGTGCGGAATTTTTTTGCACGGCCATCGATAAACAGTTCCGTTTGTCCAGTTTCGTACTGGAAACACGAAGAATTCGAGAAAAACAAAGAGTTTCGTTAAGTATTACGACAATTTAGCTTTACGATGCGCTAACAGGGTGGGTAAATATAGTTTTGAGGAAGTGAAAGAAGCCAAAAGGTGTTCGTTTGTGTTTGTCGTTATGGAGAAATTAGTGCTGCGTGCTATGCTTCAAATATTTGCTTGAAAGGAACATTTTTTGGAGTTTAAGGATTCTTCGTAATTTTGGAGCAACGGATTTGGACAAAGGGACGAGGTTTTTGGCAAAATTGAATTAGCGACTTGTTATACACATTTTTTTGTTAATTATTGTGGAAGAGATATGAATACGGTGAAGATGTGTCGGGTTATTGTTGTTCACTGTAACATATAAAAAATTTTTCAATTTTTCAATTCTGCAATTCTTCAATTATTCAATTCTTCCATTCTTCAATTCTTCAATTATTCCATTATTCAATTATTCAATTATTCCATTATTCAATTATTCCGTTATTCAATTATTCCATTATTCGATTATTCCATTATTCGATTATTCCATTATTCAATTATTCCATTATTCAATTATTCCATTATTCCATTATTCAATTATTCAATTATTCAATTATTCTATTATTCAATTATTCAATTCTTCATTTCTTAATTTCTACAATTCTTCTAAATTGTTCAATTACTAAATTGTGAAGTTACAAAATTAATATTTCAGTAACATTAAACAGCAAAAATTCTATTCTTAAACTTTCGCTACAAAAATTCCTGTTTTCAAAGTTTCTAAAGCCCCAAATTTTTAATTTGTACAATTTGAAAGTATATAAATGAACAATTTGTTATTATTTCAACTAAAAAAAAAATAAAAATCTAGTAATAATAATATACAAAGTTATATTTCAGAACTACCAGTTTTTTTTTGTAATGAACAGTGACGATATTTTCCTCTTTATATTATAAAACAACGATTCGAACACACTTCGTTATGAATCATTCCTAAGAGCATCACATATAAATAGAATACCCGACGAACGATTGTAAACATTTATTAAACTTTCATCTTAAAAGTCTAAATAACGACTTCGAATCCTACTTGGTCTGATGTCATCTTATAATCGTAAAACCCAAAAGAAGAGAAGTCCTCGTTCAAAACCTTCCTTGTTTGCCTTTAATTTCGCAACCAAGAAATGTCACGATTTTGTCACGCGCCTTTGCAACCTACATCTCCAAATTCGGAATTTGAAACCTACTTTTCCGATAAGAAAATTACCTTATTTATTCGAAAACTTACTAACGTAAATCTTCACAATCTTAAAAAATGAGGTACAAAATTTAATGACGTTTTTATAAATTTTATAAATTGTAAGTTATATAAATTCTAACCTTCTTTATTCAAAAATTTATTAACGTAGATTTTCACAATTTTTAAAAATAAGCTACAAAATTTAATGACGTTTTTATAAATTTTATAAATTGAAAATTACATAAATTTTAACCTTGTGAAAGGGGTATAAAAATTTGAAAATTGAATCACTTTTGAGACAAATATTTTGAAGCCTTAAAGTTTGACTATTTGAGCGTTTATTCATGCGGAGTCCTTGACATCTGCCAACTCTTGACATAATCACAGAAACTATGATCTATTTATCAAACCTAACTTAACCAGCAAACAATCTCAGTCAGCATCACATTTCGAGTCTGAATGTGGCAACGATCTTCTGTATCGTATATCATCGCTAACAACGTGAGGACATACGCAATCGTCGAACAAAAGAGTGTGATTCCCGTGAAAAAAGAAAAGGGGGTATCGCGAAATAATCGTGTGAACACGTATCACTGGCCACGCTATGATGCAACCGGGTACATACACACATGCTCGTTGTTCTCGCAAGGATTTCTTCGACAATGAAACTCAAGGTCGTTCCACTTTCCAGGCTTCCCAGGAACCATAGCTGTTTCCTTCGTGTTTTTTATTATCTCACGTGCGCATCGTTCGGCGGAGGATGAGGTGAATAAAATGATATAATTAAATGTTCATTTCGCGAAAAAGGAGGCACGTACCATTTCCCTTTAGCGTCGGAAGATAACTGTATAAGGAGAGGTATTACGGGTACGAGTTTTACGGCGAACGTCAAGTTTTACTTGAAGATCTTTCGTGATGATGCCTCATGCGGATTTGCCTTTTAAGTTTTAGTGGAATGAGAACGAACGACAAGTTTGCCTAATCGTATTAATAAATTAATTTAAATTGTATACGATTACGTCGATAATTTTAAATTTATAATTCAGAATGTGTGAAAGTATAAGAGCAAATTAATCATTTTTACGAATGTAAATTCATGTAAGAATAAATTAATAATTTTGATAAATGTAAATTGATATAAAAGTAAATTAGTAATTTTTATAAATGTAAATTCATATAAAAATATATTAATAATTTCAATAAATATAAAGAACATTAAATATTAAGTACATTATTTAAATTTGTACTACTATTGCGTCAATTTAAAAATTTTATATGAAATTTATTTTGTTACTTTACTATTAAAATTCATCTTCATAAGAATATTTAATGTAGTGATAGATTTAGTATTATTTCAAGTTAAATCGATAAGAATATTTCTTTTGTTTTATTACGAAAACTCATTTCCGCGCGAATAGATTTGAATTTACCGCCATCTGAGGTCACGTCCAGTTTGGATCAATATGGCGGACGCTCTGTCGCTTCGAATCGAACTACAATTAATCGGAATGACATATTTGTTGAAGATTTAATAAAAATGCATATAAAATTTTTAGAAGTTTGCTTTTTTCTTTTTTGGAGCACTTCAATCTTATAGCCATTTATATAAAATTTCAATAATAGTAAATAGTAGCATGATCCTTTTCTGAATAAACTCTGTACTCGATATTGACATTCAATACTGTGTACAGAAATTAATTAAATTTTTGTAAAATAAAAATATCAAAAAAGCAAGATATTAAACATGGAGTCATACAAGAAATTGCACCTCCATGTTTCATTTCTATAATTCAAAGTATTTATCAAGTTTTCATTAAAAATTTTTGTAATATAGAGAAAAATTTACTGTATTCAAAATAGAATGAAAATTTATTATACTTCAAGATTACTGTCTACCTATGAACGTAAGAATAAATTTATGGTAGAGTTTAACATTTTTTGGTCGGCCATTATACCGCAAATAACACGTGATGTTAGACGTAATATAGCGCGCGCTATTTGAAACATATAATTTGAACATCTCTGTAAATCGTTAGTACATTTACATCATTTGCACTATAATTAATATTAGTTTATTCATTCATTATATTATCCATTACCCATGATTTTAATTAACAGTTACACCAATAATAATTGATATTAACAACTAAACCTCTAAATAACAAATGCAGCAATAATTTGTCGTCCTAAGGTTCAGACACAACCGTTAATTAAAAGTGTATTAAAAAGACAAGAAATGAAAGTAAAGAGAGAAGACTGAGAATTAAATTAATTTAGTAAGGTTGAAATAACCATGAACATCCTAAAGTCTATATTTCTTGTCTGAGGCTGGAAATAAAGAATATATAACTACTATTATCACAGTTATATCACAGCAAATTGCGGGACGCTGAGCTATTATTTCACGCTTGTGTAGCCGCGAAATTGAAGTGAAATCTACAATTGGAACAAAGAGTGGAACAAATAAGAGCGGAACGCTGAGTTATTAGCTGAATGCGGATGTTTATGCAATTACACCCTATCAAAATATTTGCACGATATAGACAATTATTTTACTAAATCATTCTTTTATAATTTGTATTCATATTCAAGTTCAATATACTAGAATTACCAGGATGCAAATTCTACTTCTTTAAATAATATTTCAGTGTATCATCTTAATGACATCCGAACAAAATAATTACTGAAAGTAATTTGCTTTTGTCTATTTTTCAAAGTAAACATTTTGGAGTTGTTCTAAATGTTTTTCTGCAAAATTTAGAAGTTTCAGATTATACAATTTTTATTATATAACTTCAGAATTTTATGACCTAAGACCTGCCGTGTTCAATTCTAGTTTAAACCTCTCAAACTTCCCAGTTCATAAACCCCAGCCTATCAAACTAAACCACAACCAACAAGTCACAACTATAACGTCACTAAAATCCATTACAAATCGACCGTTCCAAGAAAACAAGAGAAGCAAATCCAGCACGCGAGACCGTTCGATTAACTCGAACAAACCACAATACAATTGAGACTCCGTTCGATTCCTGCAAAGCTAATTCATCGGCATCGAATAGTATCGGTTCGCATGTACCCTGTCAAACTGTTGATACTCGTAACCGGAGACGTGTACACGCAGCAACTTCACTTACCACACCCGATTACGTTGCTAGAGAAACTATTAAAGGCGGTTCGCTTCTGTCAGGACAGTTCCTCGAACACAATAAGAGTCCAATTGAATAAGCCCACGTCTCGTAGGTCGAGAGCATAGCCACGTATTCTGTTAGCCTGGACAGACTCCGAAGCAAAGGACTTCACCAACAGCGCTGCTGGTAGTCCACCGACGGGGCTGACAATCACTGTGGTGGAACCAACACGCTTACAACCGGTTCGTGTTGGTGTGGGTTGTGGGTCTCTTACGCTTGCCTCAGTCACGCCGGGCGTCAGTGACTTCGCGTCCGCCGGTTCGATCGGTTCTCCGAGACCTCGTGTCTTTTCGTGAACAGTGTACCATTTGTGATCCAGGTCCAGACACTTCCTTTAATTTGAATGGAATTTGGATGAGGATCTGGCCTTCAGGATTTATACCAGATGGATGTCTCAGCATCAGCTGTCTGTTCGGATCCTTTCAGGAATCCACAATGTTGAGACAAAGTTTGGGGAGGTGATGATCGAAAGGTGGAACCGTGGTCGTTGATCTCACTGCGTGCTGTTGCTCGGTAACAGTTAGTGTCCAGTGAATCGATGATCGATCAATTCGAATTCGATGATTCCGATGGGAATTCGTTCTGAGTTCAAAGAGTTCTGAACCAGTCGCCGGTTTATTGTTAATCAGCAGATGTCGTTGGGCTAAAAATGCCTCCGAAAATAAACGCGAGATTCGTTCTTTCGTGGCTGAGATTAAACGACGTGTCGCTCTGGAAAGTTCTAAAGAAACGTTTCAAAGTCTTTCGCGTAACACCGAGGGGGATCTCTGACGGTGTTTGACGATGCGAAACGGAAGCTGAAGAAATAGAGGAAAGTGTTGCAAAAGTGAACGAGGCGGAACAATGTCGTCGAACGGTGAATTTTCGACGATGTCCAGCGAGGAGGTGCCTTCGCTGCCCAAATCGCTGCCTAGCTCCAGGGAGGCGACGGCCGAGGGCAGTTCCGGCTCCGGTGGCAATTATATGCCCCTTCGAGAGTTTCTAGATCGATTCTCGTTGCCGAGAGTCGTCAGACTCGAAGGGACCGGCGGCAGGCCGGTGTTGCTGTACAAACAGCAACAAAAATCGCTTCGAGTTACCGCGACCCTGCTGATACATCGCTATCGGCATGATGTCAAAGTGGGACCGGAAATAGTCATTCCAGAGGGCTATCCGGGTGAGTTCTATCACATACTTTCCTTCAACACTTATGAAGACAATTACTTCTTTAATTTTAATTAACTTTGTTATTGGTAATTTTCTTGTGTTATGAAGATGATATTGATATCTTGAAGATATCTTGTTAAAAAGGTATAAATATATTATCTGTTGAAAAGTTATGTTATGGTTGAATTCTTTGGTCAAAGTTGTAATTCTATTCTGTTCATTAGTATAGTATATGTACGTGGTGTACACAATTTCTGTATAACATCAAAATCTATAATATAGTGCAAAGTTATAGCCTACAGTTAGTAATAAATGTATATTTCATGTATCGTTACATGAAATCGCTATGTCAAAAAATATCGATACATCATTCTACTTCCTCTAGAATATTACGAAACCCTTCCTGGCGAAACCGTCGAGTTTCCACTTGATTTCACGGAACCAGTTGAATGCAACACCTTATCCAGTTTCACCGACTTCCTATTTGTCATCGAACACTCGGCGCGGAAAATCGAGCAGGAAAACAACGTATCTGTCGAATTTTTGACTCGGGACGTATCGGTCGTAGAACCAGTTCGAAACGCTCGGAAAGAAACGGAAAGGAGATGGAAAGCGAAAAATGAACAACAGGGCCCACTCGTAATTGACAGTGAACCATAATCGCGGACAACCAGCGGTTAACTTTTAATGGGCTCGGTATCCGGTAGATATTTTCAGGAAAACGTAAATTATGCTCGGCTAAGCAAACGGGAACGGTTGTGATAACCAGCTTAGATCACTGAAACTGGTTATACGGCTCTGGGAGAACCGTCGACGACGTTTTCAGAAAGGATTTTAAACGGATCGGTATTATCGGAGCACGTCCTTTTGAATCGTAAACCACATTGTGGCAATAAGTTACGAAACTGGACCCGACGACCCCGACGCGACGATATCTTCGAGAAGCATCCATGTTGCTTTTCTGACGTTCAACGCACAACTTACGAGACCATAAAACGGGATAATGGCAAACTATTAGAACGACCGAGATTAGAACGGAAAGTTCAAGATCCGGCCGGTTGTCCTTTAAGGATGTTCAGTGAAAATATCGCACCCGGTTCACGTAGAGCTCTAATACTGTAGTCACAGATATTAATATTTGGATTCCGTGATGGAGCATGTGCTTTAGATTACATAGTTTTGTTCGTGTTTTCATTAAACTAAATTTTCAGCACCATCCACATATGCCACATATGACATAAGAACAAGGGTGCATCTTTTGATTTCATCTGTTAATCCTCTAGTGTACATCAGTATCTCACAATTAAGGATCCTATGTTCCTTCCTTTAACTAAGTTTGCAGCTCCACATATGTCACATATGACAAGTACAAGAGTACATCTTTCAAATATATCTGCTAATCCGTTAGTGTATAATAACCTCATGAGGAACCCTTAGATGTTCCTTTTCTTTAACTAAGTTTACACGGTTCACATATGCCACATATGACATATGAACAACAGTACTCGATCTTCCGATTTCATCTTTCATCCGTTAGTGTAATATTGTCGCAACACGAGGGACCCTCAGAAGTTCCTTTCCTTTGAGTCTGCAGCGCCGTCCACATATGCCACATATGACATAAGAGCTAGGATACGTAATCTTTCGATTTCATCTTTCATCCATTGTACATCAGTGTCTCAACATGAGGGACCCTCAGAAGTTCCTTTCCTTTGATTCAGTTTGTCTTCACACATGTCACTCACGTTTGTAACATATGTCATAAGAACAAAAGTATCTTCCAATGTCGTCTTCCACTCCGTTAGAGTACAATAGTCTCAACAGTGAGGACCCTCATGAGCTTTCCTTTGAGTCTGCTTACCGTCCACATATGCTACATATGACATAAGAGCAAGGACACATAATCTTTCGATTTCATCTTTCATCGGTCAGAGTATATCAGTGTCTCAACATGAGGGACCCTCATAAGATCCTTCCCTTTAACTCAGCTTGTCTTTATACATGTGTCGTTCACATATGTCACATATGACATACATGTAAGAACAAGAGTATCTTCCAATTTCGTTTTTCACTCCGTTAGAGTATACAATAGTTTCAATAGTGACCCTCATGGGTTCGTTTCCTTTGAGTCTACAGCGCCGTCCACATATGCCACATATGACATAAGAGCAAGGACACATAATCTTTCGATTTCATCTTCCATCCGTTAGAATATACAATGGTCTCCTCAGTGAGGACCCTCATGAGTCCCTCTTCTGTGAGTCTGCTCGCCATCCACATATGCCACATATGACATAAGACTGCCTTGTCATATGAATTGTCGGTGTCCGTGTCTATTGCCATTTCTGAAGTAATAGTGGAATATGTAGAGATGCCTATCTTCTCTAACCCGAAAGAAAATTGGAGTACAGAGTCCGTACTTTGCAGCATGAATAGAAGGTTGCACCCAGGATCAGAGCAGTAGTCCTCGTCCTACTCGGTTCATCTAATGAAAACGTTGCGGACGTTGAGTGGGCATGTGGTGGTTAACATGTCTACCTCTTACTCAAGTTGCGACACGGCAGCGTTATTGAAGCAACGCCTAACGGATCAACCTGTTGATTTGATCGGCCAAGACGAAAGGAGGTCGCAACGTAGCTGACGTCAAGCGCAAAAAACCTGTTACGAATTTTGTTTTTATGGATGTTATTGCGTGGAGATGGTTGATTCACCGGGGAAAAATGCCGTACCGATTGCGACATTTTTTCGAGTTTACTATATTCAATCGGCCTACGCATACTCGTTTTACGCGAACGAATGAATGAATCATTGTTTCGGGATATCGAAATGATGGAGAGTACGCGGCGGGCCTTCACTGACCTTTCCGTCTCGGATTGACGTTGATCTACGACGCAAAACGTACTTGGTAAGAGATGATTAAAATCATTCGAAAGATTGATTTTCGTCTGGCGTGAAGTTTGTACTTACGGCGCGGACGAAACAAAATGGAACTCGACCGTGATGTAATTATCATTCGTTGGTAACTCGAATTTGCAAGCATTGATTCGGAGTTTGTTGCTACTTTTTGTTATCTGATTCTTAGGATTCATCTTACGATCACGGATTCTTAGTAGTACTTTAGGTTAACTTTAACGTACTACAAAATTTCAGATTACATTTGAAAATATTTTAAAAAGATTTAGATAAACTTCATATTTTTTCTCCAAAGGAGGATCACAAGTATAATTCCGCGGAATGGCAAGACAAATTGGCCCGCTCCAATTTATCGTAGCACAGTTTTACAACTAGCTCGTATACCTAGGATTTGCGTGTCGGATGAGGCTTATATTGAACGGGCACTAACAATAAATTGACTAAGGAAGCATTATTTAACGCCTACGAATTCGCTATAAGTACGACACAATTCACGATGAGCCTCGTAAAGGTGATAAAAACCTGACCCATGCCCACGTGACAATCTCGGATCCATTTACTGTTCGCTTAGCACCTTTGTATACCTTTTAAGGGGGATTCTGGTCTATATGGGGAGAAAAAACGTATTTTTCACGCGTGTTTATGGGCCTGTATCATCAGATCGTTCGGATTCTCTGCGGGTAGGCTGCTAAGTATTTAGCAGAACTGTTACGTAAATCAGAGATTTCCGGGGATTTAGTGCTTATTATTAGTACGTGTATTATTATTATTATTATGTGTGTTTGTGAGATTGTAAGAGTGGGTGCCATGGAACTGTTTTATTTTATTATTTGTTTGAGTGGTTTGCTGTTTTATTATTTTAGGAATTTGCTTTTTTACTCTTGAAGTGGTACGATTTTGCTATTCTAGTTGTCCGCCATTTTACTTTTCTAGTCCGCCATCTTAGCACCCTAGTAGTCCGCCATTTTGCTATTCCGCTATTCACCATCAAACTTATTTAATCATCGATAATTTTATTCTCAAACAATTAGTATGTGATTGATTATAATAATTTTCAATTACAAATAAGCAATTTTAATTCTAAATTCAAGTTAACGAATAAATTAATTTTAATTCTAAGTTTGAAGCTATTTAATCGTCAACCATAACCTTACTCCTGCATGACAGGTAAATCTGATTCAAATGACAAATCTCTTTGACACACAAAGAAAACAAGTTAACAAGTTTTTGTAACAAATAGAAGAAGCTTTCATTTCAATTATTCAACACAAAAAATGTTAAACAAATGTCAAAATTATTTATCTATATGTCCAATATAACTATGCTTAATAAATGTTTGACCATTTCTAATCTACCTAACCTCAAATATGTATTAAACCGTAATAAGTCTATTAAATTAAATTAATTCTTAACAGAAAAATCTTGAAACGCCTATACGATGAAAATTTTGTGTTTGACTGTACCCTCACACAATCTGCAGCAACAACGATCCTCATGTACCACCCATAGAGAGAAGTTAGTTGGTATTACCGCAAAAGAAAAAAGAACAGGAACTTTGTAAACCGGTGAAATTGATTTCCCCGTATTTCGTTCTAAACGATCATGGCCAGGCTGTTTTCTCCGTGAGATCACGAACGACAGGATAGAAAATCGCGTTTCCTTATACCCAGGTGGCTTCATTAGGTGAATCGATCCCGTGTCAGGCCAATCAGCCAGCAAGGACTCTTTGTGATTCGAGTGCAACAAGAAATTCTCAGGTGCCACGACGAACCGAGTGCACCACTCGATCCTGACTAACTGTTTCACCGGCCACTTTTCCTTCTGCGTCATCGTGGAATTTCAACCGGCACGATCGATTCCGTTCCGAGCGGACACTTTCGTCACTCGACTAATCCCATTTGTCCGACACACGTGCATGAAATACGCGATCGTTCCTTCTATCGATATCGTCGAATCGGATTACAGATAAACTATTCTGAGACCCGAAACTCATCGGAGATTGCGGTTCACTGTGGATGATGTTTGACGATTTTATGACTGTGGTTGTTTGTTACTCTTATAAGTTTCTTCAAAAATATAAAACCATAAGAAACAACA